CAATGGGTATCTTGTGGTGAGTACAGCTGTATGTAGCGAAGTTATTTTTAGCATATTCACAGAAGTCTTAATTTGATAACAAATCATAAGATTTAGCTGAATTCTATAGCAGAGAACAGAATGGCTATAGTTATACTGGACAGCATGACTGCAGTTAGGTCAGGATTTTTACTTTATCAGTACTTGTGATGGCTTTTCTCGAGGGTCATCCTTGAGAATGCTCACATTGGAGGGCTGGATGGAAACAGGTTCCACGACAAGGCTGGGATGTTCCTCTCTCCATGGTCACACATTCCAGGACAGCAGCCATAATGGTGTTCCATTGTCCATTAACATGTGAGCATACCCCCACCCCATGTTATTAACTGCGCTGGACCATTCCAATTTCCTGTTTGGATGTCCTTCTATAGGACTTGAGCCCTAGGTATGCTCTTCAGATTTGTCCTTTTGCCAGTGAAGTTCTTCTGCAACCAGGTTTTTAAAAGAATTTAATGTAAAGACATCAAGATCTAATTGTGCATGTGGAGGTAACCATATTCTCCTTTTTGTTTTTGTAATTGCACCTACAGCCACAGTTGTCTTCTGCACTGAACTTTTTAGGGCCCAGCCCTTTTTGACTGCCTACAATATTTTTAAATAACTTATCTATTGATTATATTTTCCCCTCTGAAGAAATATCCCTAACTGTGGTTAGGGGAGAATGAGCATAGATTTCATTTTAACTGCTTCAAGTTGAAAAGAGTTAATGTAAGCAGAGACTGCCATCAGGAGCCATTTCCAGAGAGCTAATCTAATGGTCCTCAGATAGAAGTCATGTTGTAGCTTAGCAGTTATGAATTCTTACAGATTTTATCATCATTTGTTCTTAATACCTCATAATAGTGGTCAATTACTGATGTAGCTGGAAACTGCCAGATGGGATTAGTGATTGGAGCCCCCTTCCATATCTAGCTTATTATTATGACATTGTTTTATATATCTTTTCATTACATTTTTCTGCTGGGTGTTCAAAACCAAGTTAAAGTGAGACCAGTTTTAATTAAACTTAACCTTTTGCTATTTATCAAGGTCAGTTAAGTCTCTTCAGGATTTATCTTTGGAACCATGTATAGAGCCTCTCAGTTCTTCTGTCATCATTAGCTATCAGGATAAGCCATGGTCCTTGCTTGATCAATTGTTTTCTATGAAAGCATGGCAGATTTTTCCCTCTAGTAACCTTCTTTTGGCACACTGTTCGCTGTGTTTCCATCCCCTCTGGACAAGCAAACTCCTTGGTCATGATTCACCAGAATGGTAGGGTGTCACAGGAAAAGTTCCCTCATGTCCTGGGTCCTCACTGACCTTGGACGGCTGGAACCAAAATATTGGTTGTCCTCTTAACCCAGTTACTGTTGTAGTTTTGGTCGCCAAATTTCAGTTGTTGAACACCCAGAAGAGAAGATTAGTGATATTAGTGTTGTAGTGGGAGCAGAGAGCTTAATTATTACAATTTTATCTAGATATCAAACATTTTAAAATATACAGTATAGCCCAGGAATGTTATTTCTTACCAACCATGGTAACAGACAACAGTTACAATTTATAAAGAAAATCTGAGATTAAAAGCCATCTATATTTTAGCATGATGATCATTATGACATTAATTTTTGTAACACCCTTAAATGTCCATCTTAGTATAGAACAGATGACACATATAACATATATTGCACAAGGTTTTTTAAACAATCACTTGACTGATAATCTCATGTTAGCTTGACATGTACCTTCTATCACAAGTAGCTGGAGCACAAGAGAAAGGCAGATATCTGAATGAAAGAGAAAAACTTTATCACTAGAAACAATCCCAGTTTTACATTTTAGAAGACTGGTACATCTGGAAGGCATGAATACTTTAATACACCATGAGATTAACAGTAATAAATTGTCATAGCTAAGTGGGAAGTTTGTTTCTTAATTTAGTTTTATACCAAAAGCATCTTTTAATGAGAAATTTTATCATTTTATCCATAATGTTTATTGGGATGTCTCCTGTAGGTAGCAGTTGAGCTGTGGCTAAGCCAGAGGTTGGCAAAGTCCTTGAACCTAGGGCAAAGCCAGTCCCAAGGACATGGAGTGCCAGAGGCAAGCCATGTAAACAAGTTGTTGAGACTAGAGCAAGGCCAGTCCAGAAGATATCTGGCCTTGGTGTTCTTCCATATTAACTATAGCACAGATACCGCTAAGAACATTTCACTTTCAGTGCTCTCAGCAAAACACTGAGACCTTGCACTTTTGACTTTACACACTTCTCTCCTTTTTGTCGTGTATAAATAAAGATGTTGGTGTTGAGACGTACTACTTCTCCATCAGAGAGTTCAGGTCCCACCCAGTCCCAGCTTTCCTTTTAGTATGTGTCTATAGTTTTTTCTTAATCTCCTGTCACTCCCTCTCAGGACCTCAGTGGCTGAGCAGGTTGTAGCAGTCTCCCATAAGGCCTTGAGAACTACTTGGGTTCCAATTAATGAACAAGGACTGGGAAAATGTTTCCAGGCAATTGTTTCCTTACTCACCAAGAGCAGTCCTGCCCAACAGCTCCCCTACTCTAAGGGATAATATCTTAACAATTTTTAATGATCTATGAGAACCAGATTATAACAAATAACACATTATTTTGAATAATGAAAGATTCCTGAATCATTGTACACAGAAAACAATATGCATTACATTCATAATACTGATTTTAACATCACTTTGACCAGCTGGCAATTTAGGTGGAAGCATATCTTTAATTTTGATGGCATTTATCTATACGCAACAGCAAGCAGAAACACCAAAACAAGAGCCAGGGTTTGGAGGCAGATTTATTTACTTCAACGGGCATTGATTGGGGTCACTCCCCAAATATCAGGCCCCAATCTCTGGTGGTTTAAGGCTTATGTGAGATAAGCAAGCAGATGCACAAAAGAAGAATGGTTTGTCCATTGGGGATTGGTTTATACAATGTGCATCATAGTGACCAGCTATTCATCTCAGTGACCAGCCATTTCTGAGACAGAAGCAACTGGAGTTGGAATAGAAACTATTACATGGGCAACTACCAAACTGAAGTATATTGGCTGGGGGCATTTTTTGTTTCATATAAGCCAACTTAATGTTTCAAAAATCCAAAAATGCAAAAAGAAGAAAAATAGTTAAACTCAAAACACATGTTTACAGATTAGACAAACAAAGACACATAAGACAATTTGTTGATAAAATCAGAGTGCTCTCAAATATATTTGGCTGATTTGAATGAAAATAATTCTTTTAA